ATTTGATAATCCATGTTGATAAAAATAAGATATTTTTGATAAAAAAGTAATGTTTTTCCCTAAACTACCTTCTCATTTAAGCCCTAACCCAGGGGAAAAATTCAAACAATTAAACTACCTATAAAATACGGACATTGACTAATCACAATTGGTGCTGGCATGTCCATAAAGAAGACAAACTGAAAATAATTGCTTCAAGTATATGCACATGTGTTCATCGATTATCAGTCCTTCCTGTATTTCATATCTCCTTGGTCAAAATATGACATCTTGAAATAGTTTTCTGGAATCTGTATTCTTTAATTAATACGCTCAGTGAATATGCATTAGGTCGGGTATTGTGCTAGTGTTACAATGGTGAACAAAACCAGGTATAATTTTTGTCTTTCTGGAGTTTGCAGTACTCAGGCACACTGGGTACACTGGCACTTCTATGACTCCTTGAGTAGGCCTGGCATTCTAGAGGCCAGCTCAATATTCTTTCTTTCTGCCCATCCAGAAAAGTTTCTGTTTTAGAGATCAAGGTGCGCGCTCTCTCTCTCTGTCTCTCTCTCCCTGTCTCTCCTCCCCTCCTTACCCTCTCTCCCCGCTCCGCGTGTGTGCGTGCGTATGTGTCTTGTTGGTTCTCACTTTTGCATGCTCTCTTACACTTGCTACCACTTCTACCCTACTCACTTTCCCAATGGTCTGCTAAACAGGTACACCCTAAAACACACATTAGGGTAAGGATAGGGGGCCCCAGTTCAATCTGAGGTCAAGTTATGTTCTCCTCTTAAGGCTTTCCTAAACAATCACAATTTGGTTATCATATTATGCTTGTGTGGATTAATACAATTAGTTTTCATTTGAATATTCTGGTGAATATACTGCATGTGTCAGAACTTGAAGAGGGAACATGATGAAAAACATGCCAAATCTTTAAACATTTTAGGATATATTCCCAGGAGTAGAATTTCTGGGTCAAAGAATTTGCTTCGTTTAGAGCCATACTTTTGAATCCATCTCTGTATTCCCATTTCTTCTACTCTATTATTGCTCCATTTATTTCAATTTGACTTTCTCCCTTACTGAAATGGCTCTCATTAAGATTATCAATGACTTTTTAATTGCAAATTTAACAGTTGCTATTCCAGTCTAAAATGAGGTAAAATGACTCACTCTCAGTGATAGAAATTCAAAGTTTTTATACTATTATTCATGACACTTCAAAATTATGCCCCAAACTATTTTTTGCTTAAAATATTTTTCACTTTTATTAATTTATTACTTCATGCTCCTTCCTTATAAATTAATGAGCTAGTTTTATGCTTCACAGAAAAACTAAAAGCCGTTAGATAGACATCACTCAACTCTCTTTGTACTCTTCCCTACACCACCACTTCCTCTACAAATTCACATACCAGTGTGCCAGGGTTTGTCTTCATCCCACTATACAATGGAAGTGGTCTAAAGTCAGTACTTCCACAATCTTTTCTAGAACTTTACTACATTATTTATAAACTTTCAGTCATGTAACTTCAACATTTCTCTCTCTAGCACATTCCAGCCTGTCAGAAATAGGAGGCTAAGATACACTGAAGCTCTTTTAAAGTCCTCCTAGATAATAGTAGGTATGGAGAAGGCATAGGGTGGGAAGACCTTAGGTTTACCAATATACTCAGCACATGTAGGTTGAGCCACTCCTATCATCTGACATTTTTCTTGGGTTCTACTTGAGATTAATTCAAACACCAATCAAATCATAGTTGAGGGTTCCTGTCTGATATGGTTTGGCTCTGTTTCCCCACCCAAATCTCATCTCGAATTGAGGGCAGTTTGCCCCATGCTGTTCTTGTGATAGTAAATGAGTTCTCATGAGATCTGATGGTTTAAAAGCATGGCAATTTCCCCTTTGTGCTCTCTCTCTCTCTCTCCTGCCACCATGTAAGATGTGCCTTGCTTCCCCTTCACCTTCCACTATAATTGTGAGTTTCCTGAGGCTTTCCAAGCCATGGGGAACCGTGAGTCAACTAAACCTCTTTTATTTATAAATTACTTGGTCCTGGGTATTTATAGCAGTGTAAAAATGGTCTAATATACTTCCATAGAAAAGGTACGATAGTTTAGTTTTTCTGGTGAAATAATTTAGAATTCTAAACTTACAAGGCATGGATGTCAGAACAGTCCCTCTCTACTTATCCGTAAAAGCCTGTCAATTCTTACTTTACTTGTATGTGTGTCAGCTTCTCTCTGCTAAGGAACAAGAAGTTTTAATAATCATCAAGGGTATCTTCAAAATCTGCAGAGTAAGAGATACCAGTAGTGGAACTCATCTATAACTATAATTTTATATGGTGATTCTAACAAGGTCCTTACTGTGGTTTTAAAAACATGTTCAAATAAACTGGTTTTGAAAGAAATCACAATAAAGTACCTATTTTGAAGAACCTATTCATGTGAATGTATATTGTAAAAAGAAATTCATTTATTTCACAAAGACATGACTTATAGAAATTTGTTCTATCATTTTTCATAATTAATATTATTCAGGGAATAGTAGTTTTGGCAGGAACAATGAGCCAATGCCTTTCGCTGTCTTTGGTGATATTTAATACTGAATTTCTGATTACTAGTTTTTAAGTTCCAGTTCACAAAGTTTCCATCCTGCTAGACCGTACAGGAGACAGTGATGCATAATAGGTCAGCACTGGATTCCTCAGGGCAGAGACCTCTTGGACATATCACTAGATTAATTGCTCTGAGCCTGTAATCCCAGCACTTTGGCAGGTCAAGGTGGGCGAATCACAAGGTCAGAAGATCGAGACCTTCCTAGCTAACACAGTGAAACCCCATCTCTACTAAAAATACAAAAAATTAGCCAGGCGTGGTGGTGGGTGCCTGTAATCCCAGCTACTAAGGAGGCTGAGGCACGAGAATTCCTTCAACCCAGGAGGTGGAGGTTGCAGTGAGTCAAGATCCTGCCACTGTACTCCAGCCTGGGAGACAGACAGAGACTCCATCTAAAAAAAAAAAAAAAAAAAAAAAAAAGACAAGGCAAGGCAGAAAACTTCCACAGAAGTCAAAGACAATAAAAGGTCACATGTATTTAGCCACAAACTTTTTATTTCTAAAACGTGGTTGTAGCTGAAAGCAAACCAGGCTTTTATAAAATGTTCTTATCCAGAGCCTTCCCCGTGAAGAGTAATTTTCATTGTTTTATTTTCGAATCCACTGGTTTTAACGAAATGCATCTGCCACATTAAAGGGAGCTGTAAAATGATAAATACTCACAAAACTGAAAACTCCAGTTGCTTACCAAGCATATTTTGCCATTTTTGCCACATGGTGAACTTGAAAAAGAAAGTACATCTGGGTTATTGCTTTATGTTTTTATAAAGTATTGAGAGGTTCTTTTCTTCCTTTTACACAGTACCAACACAATTTTCTTAATAAAATAGGTAATGGCATTTTTTTTTTTTTTTGCATGTACTCTGTGCAAAACTGTCACAACAAAGCTTAGCGCCATAATAGGTCACTGAAAGAGTTGTTACAAGCTGTGTGTCCTGGCTTTGTTCAATCCATTAGAATTACTAGAATTCCGAGGTCAGGAGATCGAGACCATCCTGGCTAACATGGTGAAACCCCGTCCCTACTAAAAAATACAAAAAACTAGTCGGGCGAGGTGGCGGGCGCCTGTAGTCCCAGCTACTCGGGAGGCTGAGGCAGGAGAATGGCGTAAACATGGGAGGCGGAGCTTGCAGTGAGCTGAGATCCGTCCACTGCACTCCAGCCTGGGCAACAGAGAGAGACTCCGTCTCAAAAAAATAAAAATAAAAATAAAAAATAAAAAATAAAATCAATGTTAACAGTCTAATATAAGGGCTTTCCACCCGTCTAGGTTGTTTGGGAAGCGAAGGAGGACCAGGAAAGACAGTGCTGAAATTCCTTTGGAGTAGATGGGAACTATCAAAGAATACAATGTGAATTACTATCTATTTTGCCAAGAGAATGGTTAGTTTACTCCTTTTCTTTGAAGCTTACTAGTGATTGCTTCAAATGCTGATGTACAGTCATTATTCTTTGTTGTAAATTGTCCACAGGTTATTCAATATTCAATAGGTTTGCATTTTATTTATTTATTTTTTTAATTTTAAAAACACTTTATTTAATAAAAATTAAACATACAAAACTGAAATAATACACATCCTAAAAATTATCTTCTTCCATTAATAGGAAGACGCTTTTCTATGCATGTATTTGGCTTAAACTCAACTCAGGATAACTGTGATGTTCACTTACACCAACAAATGCAGAAAACTTGATCTAATTAACAAAAATTACAAACAGCTGAATGAATATAATATACGGGGAAATTATGGTCAGATTAATGCACAAGAAATACAAGAATTTTTAATGATGAAATATTCAGTACTCTTGTTCATTAATTTAGCCTTGTTTTTTTTTTTTTTTTTTTTTTTTACAAAAATAGTATCTACACTGTATACAGGGCTATACATCAGCTTTTTGTTCTCCCATATAAACATTACACATTCAAAACATGGTACCACTGCAGTAAATGAGAAAAGAAAAAACAAAAACAAAAACAGGAAAAAAGCAAACATACAAAAAACAAAAACACCTTAGAAAAGGGAGCTCATCCTAAGGTTTCTTACATAGAACTAAGAGTACATAAAAACAAAACAGATCAATTTTAGAGATGGCCTAATAGGCCTAGGAAACAAGTATTTGAGGAAAAACCTCAAAACAAACTTTGCCATTTACAAATTAACCTATCTTTATACTTAACTGAACAACAGCTAAGTTTTAAAGTTGAAAATAAGAAAAATGAAAGGATCTCTTTAGCAGGTTGGTGTTTTTGCCTTGGTGTTCCAGTGAATTGCTAGAGTATGTGTCAAGTTCAAAGCATCTGAAAATTTCAAGTTGCAACTTACAAAAAGTACATACCATAGGTTAAGTAGGCACCTGATATTAGGATGATCAATAATTCATCTAAGTGCTGTATGAAACAGCATTTACAAAAGTTGCTTTATTCAACAAACTTTGAGGGAACCGTAGTACTGATAATGAGAAAAGTTAAACAAATAGCAGTTATCAAATGCAATTTCTTCACGTTTCATTCTACTGAAGTCAACCAATGACGACAATGGTATCTTGCTTACTCATCTAACAAATAATTTACCTTTAGAAAAATATAAGGATAAAAAGGTAAATGTAAAACCCTGCAGAGATGAAATCCAATAGTTTTTCTGATTATTGAGGCATCAAATGCCTGACATTGTATTTAGAGGTATCTTGATATTGTGTCATAGGTTTATCGGCAATTCCACATGTTCCTACTCCAACTTTGCCAGTCACACTCTCAGATGATGCAAAAATGTTCCTCTTTACCTGGCCTTTTTTGTTTTTGGAATAGGCTCTGTTGTTGAATTGTTGCCATTTCACTTTCTGGTCCTCTCTTTCCTGCTCAAGTTCTTTTATTCTCTGAGCTTTTTTCAAAGCTTTCTTCCTTTTATATTCACGCTGCTGGGCAATCATTTCTTTTTTTGACATGGGTTTGTTGCCACTGTCCTCCTTTGCCTTCCCTCCTTATTCTACAGGCTTGAGGTTCAACGGTGGAGTCACTTCAGCATTGCCATAACCAGCAAAGGTGATTGCAGCGGTGCCATTTTCTTCATCTATCTCTTCAGTCTCCGCTTCATAACACTGTCCATCTTCACTCCAGATTGCCATACACTTGTCTCCTACTTTCCATGAATGAGTAGGTTGAGTAGAAGCAAAACTGTCTGAACTTGCAAGCGTCTCAGAAGGTTGAGTTGACAGAAGGTCTTTGGTTAGTTCTATAACTTCTTGTAAATCTTTCTTCAATTTTAGCAAATCTTCATTTTCTCCATTTCCAGATAATGCAGCTTCAACTTGCTGGAGCTGAGCTTTGTAGCTTGCCAGCTGCTTTGCTAAATCCTCTGACATCTTGTGTGGGGCTGGGGGCGGGGCGGCGGGAAGGGGTCGGGGCAAATGAACCCAGCGGTAGTGGCTGGCGGCAGCAGCAGCAGTAGCAGGAAAATCTCCGCGAAAACAAGACGACGACTGGTTCTGAAAAGGAAGAACTCGGTCGGCGGCGAGGGGGAGGGGCGCATTTTATTTATTTTAATATATCAATTCACATCTTAAAATTATTGTGAATACGGTTTCTGGTTTTAATATCTCATTTTTTATAGGCGATATGCCACTGAAGCCTCTTTTTACTCTTATATTTAGCTGTTTTAAACACGTAGTAGACAAAAAGTAAAAGAGGCTGAAATTGTGGTTTGTGTTTTCTTGCTTTTTCCCTAGTTCGTACTTCACTGCATGCACTTTTTATGTTTTCTGAGCAGTTTCTTAACATAGAGATACTTTTATGCTGTAGAATAGTGATTATATTAATTGTACCTGATTTTAGAATTTTATTGGAAATATTTTGATTATGTCACTGTTAAAGACCTTTCGTTCTCTAGATTAGAAAGATCGAACTCAAAGTTCTTTGTGCTTCACATCAAGAAAAAAGTTTAAATAGGGTTACTAAATTGGGTTACATAAATGATGCAATATGTTTGGAAAAGGCAAACAAAATCAGTTTTTCATTGATTTCTTCTTCCAATTTCTAGGGTACAGCAATGCAAATTTGATTGAGCAAATATTTTTCTCCCTTCCTTTACTCCATTTTCATTTGCAAATAACATGGAACTTAAAATTATTATTTGAAATCATTCTCATTTTACAATAAATGGAACCATAAATGCATTCTAAATAAAACTCCGAATTAGGTGGATTCTGTTAAATTTCACAGGATATAACTTTATGGGATTTTTATTTGAACTCACAAGAAGTGTAAGTACCAGATGGATTTAACATGAAGCTGATGAAATTTCTTGAGGCTCCACCCTCATGACCTAATTACCTTACAAAGGCTCCATATCCTAATACAATCATATTGGGGGTTAGAATACCGACATATTAATTTTGAGAGGACACAAACATTAGTCCATTGTATTGAAACATGCTCATTAACTCATTTTCCTTTTGGACAAGACATTTTTTGTGACTCCCTCTCCACTCTTTCCGGTTTTTTTTTTTTTTAAATTAAATTTCTATCATTTTGAACGATAGTGAACAAAGATGCCATAATGTAGTTAATACAATGTGGGAAAGGCTGTCTCCTTTGCACGTTAGATATAGAGCTTAGTAAGTAAAACATTTTATTTAACAAAAACTATTAAGTACTTTACATTCCATAAAAAAATTAATAACTTAGAACAATTATGAAAAGAGGGGACTACTGAACAACTTGAACTAGAATATGGAATAAAATATTTTTTATTTGAAAAAATATGAATTTGAACAAGATAATCTATTTATTTTGCATTGTTGTCTGGTTACGTGAAGAGCTTAAGGAAATAAAAAATCTTGAATTGCTTCTCATAGGATATCATTAGTAAGGTAATTCTGGGTAGTGCATCAAAAAATGGACACAAGCAATTCCAGCACATGAGCTTATCTCCTGTAGAAAGAGCTTCTCTTGAAGCTCTTGGAACACTAGGTAACATCTTCAATATATGTTTTGGCAAACTAATTGATGAAAACAACAACGTATGACTTGGCTGTTATATGCATGAAAAAGAGTTTCAGGATCTTGAGGCTAACCATTGTCAACATAATGAAAAGATTTTGTAAATTCTAATAGTAATACCAAATAGTAATATGGTGCTAGGCACTACTCTAAATACCACACATATATTCACTCATTTAACCCTCATTTGACAGATGCAGAAAAAGGCACCAAAAGTTAATTTTCCAAGACCACACCAGTCCCAAGAGGCAGAGCCAGGAGAGAAATTGAGGCAGCCTCACTCCAGAGTTTATGCTCTCAACACTGTTTCCCTCTTCAAAAAGGATTATCGTAAGTGTGATAACCCATTGGGCTGGGGTTACTCACATACACTGTCTACATATGAGAGGTAATTTTAATCAAATATATCAAATCAATTGTATACTAGCTGAACTCTTCTTCTCCTGCCCCTGTAGTCAATTAACTAGTTTATGAGATTTGACTATGATATAATTTAGTAGTTATTAATAATTATGTCCATTTTTCATAAGTCTATGCAAACTTTAATGTCAGTGGAAAAGGTCTTCTTACTCTTTTGGAATTCACAACTTTTGCACAGTGCTTTGACTTAGTAAATGTTTAACAGAATGCTACTTGAATAGGGAATGAATGATAGAATGCAAAGCATGATGTTAGTGTTTTAGGGGACCCAATAACTGGAACCCCTCTTCCCTACTCAAGGTCTGAAGTAATAACAACAAAAACACAAAAGACACAACACTTGGAAGGTAAAATTTCACCTTTGGTATTTCAAGCTAATATTGGAGAATGTAACTTATGTCTGCTAACAGGTATAACATTTGGTAGCACTTAACTTCTTGAATTAATTATCTATCACTGTATATAAATGATCTCGATTTAACAGTTTCAAACAACAATAAACATTCATTATATAATATCAAACAATTTCTCCTGATGAGAAATTCAGGACTTGATTGCTCTAGCTCAGGGTCCCCAATGAGGTTGTTGTCAAAATGTTGGCCTGGGCTGTAGTCTGAAGCTTGATTGAAGCCAGAAGGTCTGCCTTGCAAATGGCTTAATTTTATCACTTACAAGTTGATGTGGGCTATTGGCAGTATCCTCAGTCCCTTTCCATAGGACTGTTTGAGTGTCTTCATAACATTGCCAGCTGGCTTCTCCCAGAAGAAGCAAGGCAAAATTCAATTTCTTTTATGGTTTTGCCCAGAAGGTCACACACTGTCATTTCTTCATTATTCTATTGGTTTTAAAAGTTAGCCAGATTCAGAGTGGTTGGTGTCTACACAAACAAGAGGTAGCCGGAGGAATGAATCATTGGTGGCCTGTTGGATGCTGGCTACCAAGTTCCTTGTCACTGTCAGTGACTAGGGCTGGCCTCCTCCATCAGAAACTGAACCTGCCAGTAGAGAAACATGGTAAAGGAAATGCACAGCTTCCCACTGAGTTCACTACCAGAAAAGAGAATATAATAACGAAGGACTGAGCTATGTGGGCCAAGTTTCTTCCTCCAAACTCAACCATCAGATTATTGGTCTCAATTTCCCTGGAATAGAGAGAGTAAGAATGGCAAGAGATCAAGAGTATTATAATGGAATGAAACATTAAAAGTGGAATATAATAGTTACAGCACTAACACACAATACAAATTTATGACTGGAAATCCGTTGAATTGGGACCTTAATTCATTGAATTCTAGTGAAGATGATAATAATAATTACCCATCTTCATAGAGTTATTTGCAGTTAAAATCTCTTTAATGTTCATTCCTTTATTTAATTCTGACAATGTGTTATTATCCTCATTTTGTAGATGAATAAAAAAGAGGCCCTGAATTTAAGTAAGAGATTTAGTTTCTGTGTGGCAGCACCACGGATAAAATTCAGGTCAGTTTTTGCCATTTTATCTGGATGTCTGAGATACCTTGAAACAGATGTTTTTGTCAGCATAGGTAAAGTAGGATGGTTGTAATACACATGAAAAAAATACTATTGACTTGATTGGTGGAACTGAATAGAAGGGGAGTATAGAAGCTTAAAATATATTAGTTTGAAATTTTAGAATAGAATAGTCAGATCTGTGGGAAAATGGCCACTATAATGTTTTGTTTAGCCAATACTGGACTTACAAAAGGCTGCAAATTTGTCTTCAGCTGCTTCCGAGATTCTTTCACTCTTCTGTGGCTAAACAGTTAAAGAAAATAAAAGAGGACTGGGTGCGGTAGCTCATGCCTGTAATCCCAGCACTTTGGGAGGCCGAGACTGGTGGATCACTAGGTCAGGAGTTCAAGACCAGTCTGGCCAACATAGTGAAACCCCATCTCTACTAAAAAATACAAAAATTAGCTGGGCATGGTGGTGCACACCTGTAATTCCAGGTACTGAGGAGACTGAGGCAGGAGAATCACTTGAACCCGGGAGGTAGAGGTTGTGGTGAGCTGAGATCATGTCACTGCACTCCAGCCTGGGCAACAGAGGATGATTTTGTCTCAAAAAAAAAAAAAGAAAGAAAAGAAAAAAAGAAAAGAAAAGAGTTTATTTTTTTCTTGAGATATTAATTGGTACAGTTTTTGTGTTCCTTACTTTGTAAGACTTATTTTTTTAAATGCATTTTTGTCCTTCAACTAAAGATGAATTTTGTCAGCTATTGTTTTCTTGTCCATACCTCTTACTGTCAGAACATCTCCTGCATACAAAAGATTTAGGGTGGAAATTAATTATAAAATAATCTCCCAAAGGTACTGCTGTGAACTATCAATTAACACTGTTTGGTGCTTTGATATTTTAAAAGGTTTAAATGGGGAAGTTTAATGTGTGTGTAAAGATGTGTGCAGAGTAAAAGTCCTGAAGCTACCAAAAAGAATACTATAAATCACAGATGGATTTCAGAAATTTCTGAGTGAGGATGCAGATCCTGACCACATTAATTTGTTTGTTGAAGATTCAACCAGAGTATGGCATGCCAGGTGCTGGATATTTAGTGATGACCAAGGTAGACAGGTCTCTCGTCCCTAGGCATATAATTGAGTTAGGAGGAAGCCATCAAATAAGTAAACAGGTTACTATGCGATGAAAAATTGCAGTAGGTGCCATAAAATAATAGATTTGAGAGAATATAATGAGCCTACTTTAGTTTGGAAGGTCAGAGCAATCCTTATCTAAAGAGAAGAGTTTTAAGGCTGGATCTGAAGAATGAATAAGAACCAGCTGTGAGCACTTCAGACTGAAGTTACAGAGATAATAAAGATTTTCATTCCCTGGAATTGACTCTGTATTGGTGAATATATGGCTATATAGAATAACATGTTTCTTATCTCTGTTCCAAAAGCCTTTCCAGTTCTTACCATAACATCACTACATTATTCCTGTTTTAGTGATATTGTTACATTGAGGAATGATGTAGGAGTTTAAGTAAGCACAAACTCAAAAAAGATCTGAAAAAATGCATTGTTTCCAACATATTTTCTAGGTTGAAAATTGGATGACTTCCCACAGAATTTGTATTT